AGCTGAGACACATCCATGGCTTCCTAAGCTGGCTAAGAGATGAGGAAGTCACCAGACCTTATGAGAAGCCAGCAGCTCCCTGGAAAAGCAAATTGGCCTAGGGGAGTAGGGCTGAAGGGAGTTTACTTAACTTTTCTGTTTTCTTATCAAAAGCCAGGCAAACTCATGTTGTGTGCACTGCTAAGAGAAAGCAGAATGGAAGAGTTATAAAGTGAGCCTTTTTAATTCCCATTTGCCTGGTTTGCTTTTGAACAAATTATTATTCCCTCCTTTATTACAGTATTTAATAGAATGTAATCAATTTGCAAAGAAGTAAAAGTGTTTCAGCTTTATGGTTTGTTACAGTGAAAGTTAAATTTGCATATTAAACAGCAAAAGCATTAACATGTGTACCTATTCATCAACTACGGATAGTAAAATACCTCTCTTGTGTGAACCCAAACAGCAAACTATTTTCTGATTAAACTACTTAATTAAATATAAGATGATTAACAGCCTTCCTCTATACCCTGTCCTCTCTAGAAGCTTAAAATTGAAACAGAAAGACCCTCACACACCTTTCTCATAACTGCTTTATAACAGTATCTTTGAGTATAGAGATACGTTACTCTGGGAAAAACAAATGTGAATTAAACTATCTCTGTAAATAAAGCAAAATAGTGACTAAGTAGTACCTGAACAAAGAGTCAGTTTTCGTGTTCTAATTTCATTCAGAGCTTCATCACTGAGGCTGGCCCAAGGTCTGTCTTGCTGATTTGTACTGTGACAAATAAAGGAGGACATGCAGCAAAAAGTCGAGGCTAAATACAGCCTGTCTTTCTAAATTAGCGGTGAGCTAACTTAATTTGATGCTTCTCGCTATGCTGCAAACACAACATTTCTTCTGTACCCAATTGCATTTGCTTTAATTGTTTCAAAGATGTGAAAGGGCTTGTCTTAATCTCTTCCATCTCTGATAGTGTTGACCACAGGCTTGGACCTCCTGGACCTGAGTGAGCCAGTCTCCCAAACTCAAACCAAAGCTAAGAAGTCTGAGGGCTCATCGAGAACCTCATCTCTCAAGAAAAAGGCAGATGGATCTGACCGCATCAGTGCAGATGCGGAGCAGAGAGGCCAGCCTCTTGGAGTCCCTGACACGGCATCCTTAGATCTAGGTAAGACAATAGCTTTCATCCACTTTTGCTAAACCTTGTCCTGATGGAAAACAGAAGTATAGATACTGAATATTAACTGAATTCTATTTGAAAAACTGACCAAAACTCAGGTGTGTGTGTATATATATATGTGTGTGTGTGTGTGTGTGTGTGTGTGTGTGTGTTATGTATGTATGTGTATATATATGTATATATGTATGTGTATATATGTGCGTGTATATGTATGTATGTGTGTGTGTATATGACTCATAGCGACCCTATGAAAAAAAGGCCTGAAGCCCTTCTACAGCTATCCACATTTATCAAAGTTCATAGAGTTTCCAGAGGCATGTTATTTAGGAAGCAGATGCCACTCCTGCTTCCAAAACCTGTAATAGTATATGTTATTATTGTTATGTGACACTGAGTTAGTTGCCTGTGATATATAGCGACCCTGTGTGAAAGTGCTCTGAACCTTTCCCTCTCCTGAGCCAGTCTCACTAATTCTGACACACCAATCCCCACTGCCCCCGTTACTGAATCAGTCCATCTCATTCGGGGTCTCCCGGATGAGATATATTGCTGTGAACTGGAAATGCATCCCTTCCGGATTGTAGTGCAGCTTCTTGCCGCTAGAAGACAAGAGCTCCCTATATATATTGTTATGTGCCATTGAGCCAACTGTGACTCACAGCAATCCCATGAACAAAAGCTCTGAACTCAGCCCTATCTGCAGCCATTCTTACCATCTCTGACATACCTGTCCCCACTGCCACAGTCACTGTATCAGTCCATCTCATCTGGGGTCATCCTCTCCTGCACTGACCCTACACCCTTCCAAATACGGCATCCATAGATAGATAGATGTCATCGTAAACCACTGAATCAGAATCTCAGAACTGACCCATAGCTAACTCTCCAGTGGGTTTCAGAGTTAATTAATGGTATGAGAGGACATAGCCTATCTTTCTCCTGTGGAGCAGCTGGTGGATTTAAACCATGTACATTTGGGTTTCAATTCATTACCCCTAGGGCAACGAGGTAGGTAGATAGATGCATAGATACGTAGATAGAAATGAAAACATACACAACAAAATATACAGCCACTCAGTTTTGTTAAACAGTTCATTGACAATGATTACATCACATGACATGTCTCCGTTCTCCCTATTGTCTATATTCTTTCACCTCTGCATTTTAGAGTTACTGCTATCTATTGCATCTCAAATAGATAATTACTTAAGCAAGTGAAATGCTCAAGGCCTATATTGTTTTTTAAGAGAGCTAAATTATCTTTTAATATAAAGATGACTTCATGGGACACTTTCTACTAGAGGCTGAAAAGTTGTTTTTAAGCAATGTATTCAGAAGTTATTTTCAATTCAATGTATCCCACCCATCAATACCTTATTGTGTTTTAGGTGAAAGTTTACACCACAGATTAAATTCCTCCTTAGCAATTTTTGTACAAATTATTCCATGCCAATGGTAATCATTCTCACGATGTAGCAACAGTGTCATTATTCTCAATTTGCTTTGTTTCCCTTGATCTCGCTTGCCTTCCTCTCATTAGCTATCTCATCCTTATTTAGGGGTAATATTGACCACTTATACATATAGTTCCTTTTTTTAAGGAAAAGCATTACTCACAGGTAACAGTGTTTATTTTATAAGCAAATCAGTTATTTTATGAAAAGGTGATCCACAGAGATAACTTTAATTTTCTATCAAAGGTTATCTTAGGGAAAAAAAATCCTGAGAATTCTTTAGTCTCCCTTGGTTCCAGTAGGTCTGGCCTTCTTAAGGAATTTGAAGTCTGTGTATACTTTTCTAACAGTCTGTCAAGACCTTTCGATGGTATCAATTTGAAGTTCCTATCTACATATCCCCCCTTTTGATCAATATTCAACTCTTGAGCCCTTGGTCAAAATGATTAGTAATTGAAGCTGGGCACCTCCAGTTTCTTCTGGTCTCTGGAAAACGGAGGTAAGAGTTCATGGAAGCATTTAGATTTATTGTCCATTCCTTCTCTGATTTCTGAGGCGCACAATTCTTTTCTTCTTGCTTTGCAAATGAAAACTTAACTTTGAGTAACTGGTGTTGATTAGTGAATTCACTTATTCAGCCCACATATATTGACTTTTGGGTTGGTTTGTTGTTGTTTTTTAGCTAACTAATGCTGGCTCAGAATAACATAAAACACTATCACCATAATTCAACATCTAGTTGAATTTACTGCCAGTAAAATGAGTTCTTGATAAATGCCATACTAGGCACCACCTGTACAAATAAAATAAGACACGGACCTTGCCATATAGGAATTTTCAGTCTTGAGGGGAAGATGTATAAGTTAAAAAACTCCGACAATGTCCAGAGTGCCAGGGAGGCAAACTAAATTGTTGTGTGTAAAATGTTTGGAAATATATCTTAGTAAGGTAACAATAGCCATTATGGATGGTTTACAGTGGCCAAGGATTGTACTATATGACTTACATTAGTTCACTAAACCTTCCCTTTTGAAATAAGTGAAGAAACAAATTTTGAAAATGTAAATAGTTTTCCCAAGATCTCACAGTTAATAAGACGTGCAGATAGAACTTGCTCTTCATTCTAGCTGACTTTATCCTCCTGAGTAAGGTGGCAGGTATTACAGGAAATAGGTTTCTCTGTCTTCATTGTTGCAGACGGACCTGTGTCACTCATTCATTGTCCTCGAGTCAGAACCCACTTGTAGCTGTTCCTCCAGGTTTTCAGAGCCTATAAATTGCACAGGAGGAGATTGCCCATCTTTTTCCTGTAGAGCCACTGGTGGATTCAAACCAATAAAATAAGTTTATCGGTAACAACTCTGACTTTTATGGAGATTAAATTGGATGTATGTGCGTGTGAAATCACATAGCACTGCAGTGTGTTTGATGTCATGATTTTTCATCATTTGTTCAGTAAAGATTTCTCTGAGGCCCTGCTGTATCCCAGAAACATGCTGTGTGCTAGAAATGCAAAGATTAATAATATATATAACCTCTCTGTTCCGAAGTACTTTTACATTCTGATGTAGAGCTAGAAAGTTTATGTTTATGATAAAATCTCCTACCATGCAAGTAGATGTTACATAAGTGATTTAGAGAATAGAAGTGGGCTATCACAAAGCAGGAATAAAAAAGGCAAGCCCTTACACATTCTCTTTCCCATTTAGTCCACCTCACAAGACTGACTCTGAAGTCTTGGCATACGCTTTCTCTTTCACAAGGTCTCCAAGGGTCTTGAGAAGAGGTGTTGCAAGTATGTCGAGCTGCTGTAGTTGGAGGCACAGACCACAGCAGCAATATATATAAAGTAGCAGAACAACTCTATGCCCTGGGGAAAACCCAACATCATCCATCAATGGAGAAAGAGGAAAACAAAGTGGCCACATTATAACAGCCCTGAGATATGTCACATCTTCTGTTCCTTCATATGGCCTAATCAGTGATGTTCTGGGGGTAATCAGACATACAAGTACAAGGTTCAGGCCCTATTATGCAATGTGCCTTGCCTTGAGAAGCTGTTAGAACCTAGAGTTAGAAGGCTTGGCTCTGTCTTCTTTGTCTGGATGGCTTTGGAATGAGTGGATAGCCACAAATTATCCTGCTATTGTTTAGGAGCCTCTAGTAAAATTGGACGTGCTCACCAAGTTGTGCCAAGAAATCTGGAGAACAACCACTTGGCCAACTGATTGGAAGAGATCAATATTTGTTCCTATCCCAAAGAAAGGTGACCCAACCGAATGTGGAAACTACAGAACAATCTCACTGATTTCACATTCAAGCAAGATTTTACTGAAGATTATCCAAAAACGACTGGAACAGCACATCCACAGAGAACTACCAGAAGTCCAGGCTGGGTTTAGAAGGGGTCGTGGTACTAGGGATATTGTAGCTGATGTTAGATGGATCTTGGCTGAAAGCAGGGAATACCAGAAGAATGTCTATCTGTGTTTCGTTGACTATGCAAAGGCATTTGACTGTGTAGATAATAACAAACTATGGCTGACTCTGAGAAGAATGGGAATCCCAGAACACTTGATCGTTCTAATGCGAAACTTATACTTGGACCAGGAGGCAGTCGTCAGAACAGAGAAAGGGAACACTGCATGGTTCAAAATTGGGAAGGGCGTACGCCAGGGATGCATCCTATCTCCATACCTTTTCAACCTATATGCAGAACAGATTATCTGGGAGGCTGGGCTCTATGAGGAAAAATGTGGGGTCAAGATTGGTGGACGATTTATCAACAATTTGCGTTAAGCGGATGACACAACCCTGCTTGCTGAAACTGAAGAGGACCTGAAGCGCCTGCTGCAGAGTGTCAAGGACTGCAGCCTACAATATGGATTGAGGCTCACTGTCAAGAAGACAAAGATTCTCACCACTGGACCAATTGGCAGCATCAGGGTGGATGGTGAAGAGATTGAGATTGTACACAGCTTTAGTTTGCTTGGCTCCACAGTCAACAGTCTTGGCACCAGCAGCCAGGAAATTAAAAGGCACATTGCCATGGGAAAGTCTGCTGTTAGGGACCTCTCCAAAGTACTGAAGAGCAATGGTGTCTCTCTGGAGACTAAGGTGCATCTGATACAGGCCATGGTCTTCACAATCACTTGTTATGCATCAGAGAGTTGGACAATGACCAAGGAGGATAGGAGAATTGATGGCTTTGAGCTGTGGTGCTGGAGAAGAGTATTGAGAGTACCATGAACTGCTAGGAAAACAAACAGATTTGTCCTGGAAAGGGTTAAACCGGGTGGCTCCTTGGAGGCAAGGATTCTGAGGCTCCGTCTAACATACTTTGGACATGTTGTGAGGAGAGACTGGTCCTGGAGAAGGACATCATGCTTGGGAGGGTGGAGGGACAGTGCAGGAGAGGAAGGCCCTCTATGAGGTGGACTGATTCAGCGACTGGGATAATTGGGATGGCAGTGTCAGAGACAGTGCGACTGGCACAGGACAGAGCAGAGTTTAGGGCTGTTGTACATAGGGTCG